ATGTTGAGGAAAAGATCTTCTGGTTCCAAGGCACAGTCTGAATACCCAATTGTTTGAACAAAAGAAAAAGACTGCATCCTTGGATTTACGTATCTAACAGCTACATAAGGGTACATTGTCTGCCAGAAAAGACACTGGACATAGTCAAGAAACCCAGGTTCTTGATCCAGCCTAGAAAGTCACATGGCCTTTTCAGACAGTAGCTCTGAGATGTGTTGCAGTTCTAATATTTTATGATTCTATTAATCGAACTCTCACTTGACTCTGAGACAGAAGAACAAATGGTACTTTATTTTCCTATGTCACAGTTAAATATGATTTTGAAGGTTAGCCTGGGAATCTAACCACCAAAACTTTATTTCTACAGAAAAAACAAGTATGCTCCTGCATTTCTGGGATGAGGCTGCAGAGGTTCCTGGCAGCATCAGGCATGAGTCAGGTATTCCTATCCTGGGAACTGCCTAGGATATTTTAGCAGCCCTCTCTCTGGACTAAAATATCCAGAATTGGACTTTGTCAAAACTTCCTCCTTGTCAGTCAGCAGTACAGTATACACACTGAGAGTTTAAAGCAAACCTAGATTAACAGTTATCCTTCAATGGATGGCTGTTTAAATTAACATTTAAATAGCAACCTGGAAGAGCCAAAGAAAGTTTCTCAATCCAATGAACTTAGGTAAAGCAAAGAATCATTTCTTAATGGGAAAAAAAAAAAATCTTTCCAGAGATTCTAAGAACCTTATCTTTTGGAGTAAGAAGGTATATCTGCCTTCTAAGATAGCTCTAATTCAAACAGCCATTTTCAGTCAACCATTTTTTAAAGTTCACAGTACTCCACAGAACAATTTGATAATTTGTTTTGCCATTTTTACAGGAATTCACTTTACCATTACATAACACTTATAGCACAGTATTTTAAAATAATACTTTTTAAAAAGATTTTATTTATTTGAGAGAGAGAGCATGAGCAGGGGGAAGGGCAGAGGGAGAGGGACAAGGAGACTCCCCGCTGGGTTCAATCCCAGGACCCAGGGATCATGACCTGAGCTAAAAGACACTTAACCAGCTGAGCCATCATGCACCCCTAAAATAATTATTTTTTTATATTTAGTACTATTACAGTGTTACAATGGTAAGAATCATCCTTTTGTAATCTCCTAATCTTAAAACATTTTGAAAGTATGTAGTATACAGAAAGATGAGTCACAACATGAAACAAAGCATAATGAAGAGTAAGATACAAACTTTTACTTTGAGATCAATGCATCTACTAAACTGGCTTTCCCTCTGACCTCACACATAACCAAGTAAAACCTCAGCAAGAAAGTTAATTAACAGTTTACAAAAAAATACTTAATCTTGCCCATCTACATAAAGCAATAAACTTTTGAAACTTTAAAAAAGATACCAAGTATGGTTTAAATGATTTAATCCTTACACTCCTTTTTTTTTAATCCTTATACTCCTGATTGCTTACTGAACCTCAATCTTTTAATTTTAATTCACAAATTAAACTGGTGCCTACCAACCTACCAGAAATGTGTTATTGTTTTTAATTTGAATTGGTTGCCAAGAATCTGGATTTGTGGGTTTCCTTTTAAAGGGGGAAAAAGGAAAGATCTGGGAACACTGGGCCCACAGATCCTGGTAATAGCAACATTTGCAAAGAGTAGGGTAGCAGCTGCCCTCTTCTGATAGCGTATGTAATTTCTAGTTCTGCCCAATTCTCTTTGCTCACTTTGGTTACTTGCTTGGCCTTTAGAGCTATTAGAGTTTGAAATGTTTATTCTACTGAGGTGTTGGGCTCCCCCCACCTTGGGGGGGTATCTTTTGAGGGTTCTTAGAAGAAGCTAGCTATAAAAATCTTTACCACAGAAACAGAATAAATCAAGTGACTATCCCAGCATTAAAGCCATATATATCAAATGTTAATTAAAAATAACAGGATACCACTAAAATATACAAGGCACTATTACTGTTAAGAAAATAGCTTTTAGTATCCTAACTTTGGTCTGTCTTCAACTCCTCAGTGAAGCAATACATTCAGTCTTCTACCCTTCCACAGAATAAAGAAATTAACCTTGTTTCAATATTATGGCACTCTAGGAGTACCCCAAAGCCTCCTGCATCTGTATAACAAAAGAAGAAAAACAAGAAGTAAAAAAGGTCTCTGATCAAAGAGACCACACAGTTCACAGAACACATGAAGCTCTCGTCACTCAGAGCCTACTGGATCTTATTTTAGACATAATTTTAATAAGCTCCGTGATCTGGTTTCCCAGCCCACAACAGATGAGATGCAGCCAACTGGAAAAGGGCTGGGGGTGGTGCTGCAAGAGGCAGACACTCAAAGCATCAAAATCAAAGCTGAACCTATAAAGTCAGCAGAAAACCTCAAAACACAGCAGGCTAGGACCATTTGGTGTAGATACAAACAAGCCCAGAGGTCCCAATCCCTGAACAGAACTATACTGGATATTCATAATGACCTTCTCTGGTACACTCTGTTAAAGCATAGGTCAGGAGGCTTTAAAGTGTGTATCAAAATAAAATCCATCAAAAGCTTCTGCCAAAAAGACAATGCATTTAAAGGACTGTCAAATTCACAGAACACTATTTCCCTGTCAAAGAAACAAGACATTGAATTCCTAAAAATGCCACATGTCAAATTTATTTTTCTCAGCAAAATTTTATTAGAACCAAGATGCAGCAGTTCATGAATCTAAAGTTAACAGAGTATTTAAGTAGAATTATTTTTTCAGAGAATAACTGGGAAGGTTCAAGACCAAGATCAATTATATAAGCCAACTAAGTTTTTTGGGGGTTTAGGAAGAACTAGTCTTATCCATACCTAATTAAGTCTGCATTCAACTTAAAATTGGTATTACACAAAAAATTTGGGGAAAAAATATCCATTTTGTTTTCACAATCTTACTGACAAGTATACTAAAAATATATTTTATTTTTCTAATCCCTGGCAGTCTCAGAAGTTGAGCCATACTTTGCGGAGGACTCTAGGTTATAAACCAGGAGGAAAAAGGCTAACACTGAGTTTTAAAAGTTCAAAGTATCATTGCCTAAACTTGATTTTCCCTATTAAAAGCTTTATAAGAAGATATTTTAGAGAAGGTCTACAGAATATGTAGTAACTCAAAAGAAACCACATTACTGGAGCAAGTGTATTAGAAGATTAAAATACGTGTATTGAGTTACCTTCTTCTCCTAAAAAATGTAACACGTATCAATTAATGTAGAGATTAAAGGGTATACTTCTTGATCTGTACTTACTCTTCTTCAGGTTTTAAAATAAGAACATGGGGAGAGGCGGAGTAAAAACAAAAAAAGCACAGTCTTCTACAGTTATAATCTCAAATTGATAACTTCCCAATTAGCCTGTATAAGAACCGAGTAAACTACTAAAAGTCTTAAAAATACATATATATTTTTATTTGGATGATGATTCCTCACTGTGCTCCTGCCCCTTAAATAGTTCTTTAAGAAATCTTCGGTGAAGTTTCAAGCTCCTTTTAACAAATAACCTGCTTCATTTTAATACAAGATTTACTCTGTCTGAAGTCTGCCCTTCTTCATTTGTTAGAAATCAAGTTAAGTCCAAACAAGTTGGTAAGGATCTAACCTAATTTACAGTAACCACTGGGATTAATTCCACATTAAAGGTCTCTGATCATGAGTGAAATGAAGATCGACTGCAAACTGAGGTGTTTTAATTGTCCCACAGTCCCCATTTTCCCTGAGTTTAGGGCAAGGTGAATATTAGTTCTCTTCCCCTTCCACCTCCATCCCATTCCTCCCTATGGATAATCCCAGGATCTACTTGTAAGTGGCTAGAGATTTAACAGAGCTTCTCCAAGTAGTCAAGTAAAACACCAAACAAAAATCACCAGTACTACTTCCCCACTTTTAAGAAAAAGACATGATAGTAAGAGGCACCAGGAGTGTTACAATATTGGGGGGGGGACCCTAAATTTTAAGTCAAGCATAATACAGAAGCAGTATAAGGAAAACCTTCATACAAATAACCAAATAACCCTTCATCTTAAAGGGCAAAGACATCCTTTCGAATGGAAAAATCGAGCAAAATTCCTTCTAAATTAAAAAAAGGATCTCCCTGAACATATCACCGTAATTTAAGCGTTAAAATCCACTGTATGAAGAGACTGTAAAAGGAAACTCTGTGTAATTCCTTCAGTGGTTTTCAACGTTCAGGTTTCTACCTCTACCCTTGAAAATTTAACTGCTTTTCTATTAGATCCATTTGTAAAAGTGTAGTTTCTGACTACATTTGGCAACCTCAAAGAACAAAACGCTTCTCTTTCCACTTCCCTCCTTCCTCAAAAGAGTCCTGTTTGGTTTTGTTTTCCTTCTGAACTTCCTACTCTGAGTTTCTGGACGAGTAGAGTGGACCGAAGTGTGCGGCCGTCAAGGGGTAAGTGAACCCAAGAAATACTTGTGGATCGGACAAAAAGGCTTCCTCCGTCTGCCTAAGACATGGGCTCCAAGCTCAGGCCGTTCTGTGGAGGGAACCAGGGCAGGTGGGCGGGTGTGGGCGGGAGGGGGTAGGGGGACACGGGCAGACATGGGGCGAGGAGCCCTTTCGACCTCTGTCAATGGGGCAGCTCAACGCCCCAGCCCCGGCTCCCCCTCCCGGCATGGCCGGACAATGGCCCTCTAGCGCAGCAGTCCCAAGCCGGGCAGAGGCCCTGGGACTCCATACCACGCGGGGCCTAGAAAGGAGGCCAGGGAGGAACGCCGAGCGGGCTAGCGCACCTCCGGCCTAAGCGCGGGCTGCGCGCCGGGGCCTCCACGGGCGCCATCACTGGGAGTGGGGTGTGAAGGGCGCCCGGCAGGACCATCGCCGCCGGCAGCCAGGTCCGAAGAGGCCGCGAGCCAGGCTGAGGCGACGGCGGGAAGTGCAGGCCGCAGCCTGCTCAGCTGGCCCGCCCAGCAACCGGAACCCTCAGCCGACCTCCGGCCGCTTACCTTGTGGATTCTCTTCAGAGCCATCGTGGGAGGCGGGTGGCGGTGGCCCCCGGGGCGGGGACGGGGACAGGGGAGGGACGGGGAAGGGGCGAGGGGGCGCGAGGCCGCCTCGGTGATCGCGGGTCGGCCGGAGAAGATGGGGAGTTCGGGAGCGCGGGTCCGGCAGGACGAACTGAGGGCCGGGGCCCACTTGGCTCCTGAGCCTGCCGCAGCGGTCACCGCATCACCCGGCGGCGGCCCCTTTATGCGCTGCCGTCCGAGCCGCCGCCGCCGCTACCGCCGCCGCCGCCGTAGCTGCCTCTTCCACCTAATCTCAGCGCCGCCTCCTCAGCCGCCGCGGATCCCTCCGCCGGGGAGCAAGAGCCCAGGCCTCGGGCTCTGCCGGCGCCGCTCCGTCGGACAGCCAGAGGGACTGCCTGCTGCAGGTGGACGGAGGGACGCGCGGGCGGACGGGCGGGCGGCGCCGCCGGGGTGGGACCGCCGGAGCGCGGGGTGGGCCCAGGCCGACGGGCAGGTCGGGAGGCGCGGGGATTGGCGGGCTAGGGGAGGGAGGGCCGGACCGCGCCGGCGGCGGAGGGATACGGGCCGCCCCTGTGAGTATCTTAACGCGCCGTCGCCTTCGCCGCCACGGCCGCCGAGAGGATGACGCCGCGAAGCGAAGGGGAGAGGTCTCGCGAGATTCGTGGAGCGGGCGGTAAATGCCCGCGCGCGGGGACCCTTGAGTCCCTTGCGTCTGGTACCGCACGCGTGTGTCATGGAAGATCCATAAACGTTTAAAGGCGAATGTTTTCCAGATCACTTGATCAGCGCCATAGCATAGACTGACCCGGAAGGACGTACTTAGAGCCACTGCAACGTCCCCGTAGGAGGAAGGGACTTGTCCGAGGTCACACAGCTCTACAGAGGCAAAGCTGGGACTTCCCTGAAGTCCAGGGTCTTGTCAGATCCCTTTCTAGAAGCCTCGTGGTAACAACCTGGGCACCTGCTGGGAATGTGTTTCCTTGAGCATGTCTCGGGCATCCCTGAGATGACCTTTCTAACCAAGGCCCCAGCAGGATGACAACTTGAATGTCTCTTGGCCACAGACGTGTCACTTATGGGAGAGGTACTCAGCCCTTGCTCTGCTTGGTGAATTGTTACAAACAAGCACTGCACCAATCACCTCAAAAAACGTGCAGGAGTTAAAAACAACCGTTTCAGATAACTGTCAAGGAGCAAGCCTAGAAAACCTATTCTGCAGTTGCTTTTTAGGAGGTAGAGGCAAAAACTAATTCACAGAGCAACTAGTGTGTGTTGAGCCATACGTCACGACCTGTGAGATAAAAGACCAGGCCTAGGCCAGGAGGTACTTACCTGGCTGGAGACACACTGGAGAATAAGGATTATTTTCCTGGTGGGTGATGCCCACATTCTCAAGTCCATCCCAAGGTTTTCTTTTTTTTTTTTTTTCTGTTAAAGATTTTATTTATCTGATAGAGCGCACACAAGCAGGGGGAATGGCAGGCAGAGGGAGAGAGAGAAGCAGGCTCCCCACCCAGCAGGGAGCCCCATGCAGGGCTCTATCCCAGGATCCCAGGATCCTGACCTGAGCGGAAGGCAGACGCTTAACTGACAGCCACCCTGGCGTCCCCATCCCAAGGTTTTCTGATTCTAAAACTGTGTTCTTTCCTCTATCTGGAAGGGACCTTGGAGATCATTGACTCTAACCTGAATTTAGACAGATTTTAGAAACTGGACCTCCTAAGGGAAAAATCCTGCCAAACGTTGCGCAGTATGTCAGCGGTAAAATTTATACTGCCTCACCTACTGAGTAAAGGTTGGATCAATAGGGCAGGCCAAGAGGGCACAGCAAATCAAAGGAGGGAAAAACTGCATCCAGTCGTCCAAGGTGGGTATATTTGAGCTTGGAGGTGAAGAGGAACATTACACAGTCCCGAAACTTTTCATCCTAAGAATTGTGATGGAATAGGTACAAAAATGCCCATTGGCCAGATTTTTTAAATCTTTTCTTCAACAGTTACATTTTTTTGTATTAGAAAAACTATATATTTGTTGCAAGAAATACAGATAAGCAAAAAGAAGGAAATAAAGCCAACCATACTCTCATCATTTAATGATTAACAATTTTGAACATTTGGTTTATGCCTTCCAGTCTTTTTTCCGTACATATAAATACATACTTTTATTTGAAAAAAGTAGAATCATGCCATAATACTATTTGGTAATCGCCTGTTGTAAAAAAAAAAAAAAAAAGAATTGTATGTATTTAAGGTCTACAACATGATGGTTTGAAATACATAAACATAGGGGCACCTGACTGGCTCAGTTGGTGGAGCACGCAACTCTTGATCTTGGGGTTGTAACTTCGAGCCCAAAGTTGGGTGTAGAGATTACTTTAAAATAAAATATTAGGGGTGCCTGAGTGGCTCAGTCAGTTAGGTGCCCAACTCTTGATTTCAGCTCTGGTCATGATCTCAGAGTTGTGGGATCAACCCCTGTGTTGGACTCCACACTCAGTGGGGAGTCAGCTTGAAATTCTCTCTCTCCCTCTGCCCCTCCCCCTGCTCACACACACATGCTCCCTCTCTCTCAAATAAATCTTGAAAAAATAAAAAAATATTAAAAAACAAAATATGTATAGTGAAATGACTATTACAGTCAAAATAATGAACATATCCGTTGCCTTGCTTTTTTTTTATAGTGAGATCTTTGATAATCACTTTTATAGATTTTGTTTATTTTTAGAGTGAGCGTGAGTGAGAGAGCGGGGGTGGGGTGGCGGGGGAGGCAGGAGCAGAGGGGCAGAGGGAGAGGGAGAGATTATCTCCAGCAGACTCACTATTCAGTGCAGAGCATGATGTGGAGTTTGATCCCACGACCCTGAGATCATGACCTGAGCTGAAACCAAGAGTCAGATGCTTAACCCACTGAGGCACCCAGGTGCCCCTTGAAAATCTACTTTTGAAATAATATATAGTGAATTTTCCTGTGTCAATACACATTTCTACCATAATTTAATGGCTACATATTCTATCATGTAAATGGACCATATTTATTTAACTGGTCATATTTGGGGGGACATTGTTATTCCAGAGTTTTTTCCAATTTTTACTATTAAAAATATTACTATAGTGGATGTCCTGTAGTTAATCTTTGTACAGTTCTAAGAATGCCTCTTTAGGATAAACTTCTAGAAATGAAATTGCTGCATCAAATAGTAAGAGTTTTGCATGTATGTTCATGAGGAATATCAGTTTATAATTTTCTTTTTTTGTAGTATCTTTATCAAGTTTTCATATCGAGCTTATTATGGCCTCATGAAATAAATTGGGAAGTGTTCCCTCTTCTTTATTTTAAAAGACTTTGTGTAGGATTGTTATTTTTTTCTTCCTTAAATAAATATTTGGTAGTATTCACCTGTGAAGCCAGCTGGCCCTGAAGTTTTCTTCACAGAAAGAGTTTGATAATAAATTCAATTTCTTTAATAAGTATGGGGCTATTTAGATTTTTCTTTTTTCTTATGTCCATTGTGATAATTGTGTTTTTCAAGGAATTTGTCCATTTCATTTAAGTTGTCCAATTTATTAGAATAAAGCTACTCATATTATCTTATTGTTACTTTTGTTATCTGTAGCATCTATAAAGATGTCCCTTTTTGTGTGCCTGATGTTAGTTATCTGTGTTTTCCCTTTTTTCTTGATAAATCTTGCTAGGAAGTTACCAATTTTATTAATTCTTCCAAAAAACCACATCTGACCTTGTGTTTTCTCTGTCCACTTTCTATTTTATTGATTTCTGCTCTTTTTATTTCTTTCTACTTATTTTGAATATAATTTGTTCTAGCTTCTTAAAGTAGGAGCATAAATCACTGATTTTATACTTTTCCTTTTTTAACTTTTTAATTTTTAATTTTTTAAAGAGATTGTATTTATTTATCTGTCAGAGAGAGAGACAGAGTGCACAAGGAGGGGGTAGACGGAGTCAGAGGGAGAAGCAGGCTCCCCGCTGAGCAGGGAGCCCGATGCGGGACTCCATCCCAGGACCCTGGGATCATGACCTGAGCCGAAGGCAGTTGCTTAACTGACTGAGCCACCCAGGCGTCCCTCCTTTTCTTAAATATAAGCACTTTCTGGAGCGCCTGGGTGGCTCAGTCATTAAGCGGCCGCCTTCGGCTCGGGTCGTGATCCCAGGGTCCTGGGATAGAGTCCCGCATCGGGCTCCCTGCTCGGCGGGAAGCCTGCTTCTCCCTCTCCCACTCCCCCTGCTTGTGTTCCTGCTCTCACTGTGTCTCTCTCTCTCAAATAAATAAATAAAATCTTTTTAAAAAAGATAAATATAAGCACTTTCTAATAAAACATTAAAAGCACACAACTGGGGCGACTATATATAGCCCAAAAGTGGAGACAGCCCAAATGTCCATCAATAGGAGAACAGGATAACAAATTTTGACATTCATACAACAGAATTCTACAGCAAAAACAAAAAGGATGAACTATTGACACACTGAACAATATGAATGAATCTCAAAACGATGATGTTAAGCAAAAGAAGAAAGACACAAAAGAGTATGAACTGTACAATTTTATTTATATGAAGTCCAGAAACAGACAAAACTAATTTTTGGTGTTTGAAGTAAAAAACGTGGTCGCCATTACTGGGGAGGTGATTTGTCAAGAAAGGGATCAAGGAAATTTTCTGGGATAATGGAGATGTTCTATATATTCTTTTGGGTGGAGGTTACACAGGTATATACACACAATTATCAGAACCTCTGGAACTGAACATTAAAGATCTGTGCATTTTATTATATGTAAATCACATATATATGTATATATACACATACATGTTATGTATATTATAAAATAATATTGAATTTTTTAAAGAGTATGCAGAATTTCTAGATCTTCATATAGAATAGATTTCTCCTAGGGGCGCCTGGATGGCTCAGTCGGTTAAGCATCTGCCTTTGGCTCAGGTCATGATCCTGGAGTCCTGGGATAGAGCCCCTCGTCGGGCTCCCTGCTCAGTGGGGAGTCTGCTTCTCCTTCTCTCTCTGCCTCTTTCCCCCTGCTTATGCTCTCTCTCACACTCTCTCTCTCAAATAAATAAAATCTTAAAAAAAAAAAAAAGAATAGACTTCTCCTTGGAGTAATTTTCCCTTTTTCCTCCCAGTCACCCCACATAGATCTTAGAGCCCTCAGTTTACCTTCTGTTATCCTACTAAAATTGTGAGCACACTGCATTTGATCTCCCCTCTTGGCTGCTAACCCAATAATGCAAGCATTATAGTATTTATTTATTTATTATTTTTTTTTTTTAGCATTATAGTATTTAAAGCTTTCCCTTGGCAAAGGGTTCCCAGAGAAGCTGATTGCTATGTGCTGAGTAAAGAGTACAGCCCAAACAATTTGGGAACTCCCTACTTTTAGATATCAGGCGAGTTCATTGTGTCTTATTAGAATGACTGGGGAAGGAGTATTAGGTAAACAGCAATTGATTTTATAGTTGCATCAGTATGATCCCTTTTTGTGATATTTTCTCAGGTGTACTTTTAAAACATAAGAATCTTGCCCAAACATTCCAAACTCTTTGAGATAGTACCACAATTTGAGGCTATTAGAGGTTATCTATTAGAGGTAAATCCATTTCCTTGGAA